CGCGCCCTCGGCGTCACCGACGAGGAAGGACATGGCCTGCTTGCCTCGGAGCCAGCGGCCCGAGGCACTGAGGCGGGGCGCCTGCCCCGGGGAGTAGGCTGGATGGTCCAGCCGGCCACCCCTCCAGTCCGCCGGCCCGGGCACGCTGGGATCGGGCCCGTCACCCCCCGTCATCATGGCGGCCTCGGCGCGCCACGTCGTGACCAGCTCAGCCGCGTCGTCCGGCTCCAGGGCCCTGCTGAACGCCACCGCCGAAGAGACGCCCGTCGGGGAACCCTTCCGCCCTGTGAGCGAGGCCGCGCTGTGGTAGTCGGTCTCCTGCTCCACGTAGAAGTCGCCCCATGGCGTGTAGACAGCCCCCCCGCCGCCGAGCACCAGCAGCAGAAGCAGCCAACTGGGGATCTCCATCGACGATCCCGCCGCGCCTCGCCCAGGGCGTGGGAGCTCCCTGGCCCGTCGTGCGGATACTCAAGGCCGCGGGCGGCGGGCAGAGGAGCGGAGCGTAGAAGGCCGCCCAGGTCACGCTGGTCTCGGTCGTGCTGGTGGTGATGGACGTCCAGATGAACCCAACGAGACCGCCCGCACACCACCCGTCGCCAAACCAGTTGGCAGGGTGGAGCAGCCCGCCAGCCGCCAGGCACAAGGCGGCAATCGTACTGCTTGTGGCGGTCCCCGCAAGCTTGCTAGGGCTTATAGCTTGAGCCACATTACGGCGACAGAAGTCAAACTCTTAGCAAACCCCTGCCACGCAGAAGCACTGCCCGAACTGATTTGGATCTTAAGCTCGAGCTGCCTGACGGCCCAACTTGCCCAGAGCTGGCTCGAATCGAGGTTCGAAGGTCGCAGCAACAATCAACCCGACTCAATTCCGAAGCGGTACGATGGACGCGCCACGGAATGTGCTAAGGGCGCTAGGGGATGCGCCAAGGCACTTTCCAGGGGACGTGGCAAGGGACGTGCCACGCACCGGGTAGGGAAAACGCCACAGAAGACGCCAAGGAATTCGACAGGGGCGAGCCAAGGGACGCGCCGAGGGGGGAGGCGCATACGCCGTCCCATTCTCGGGTGTTCGGAACCCACGCGTGTTTACGCTTGTCCCGCTCTGGGACGCTAGGAAACCATGTGTGTTCACGCGTGTCCCGCTCTGGGGGTTTGGAACCCACGCGTTTTCAGGCTTGTCCTGCCCTGGAGCACTAGGAACCTAGGTGTTCTCACGCTTGTCCCGCTCTCAGGCATTAGAAACACATGTCTTTTGACGCTTGTCCCGCTCTGGGGCGTGAGAAGCCTATGTGTTCTCACGCTTGTCCCAATATGAGGAGTTAGGAACCATGTGCTTTCACGCTTGACCCGCTCTGGGGCGTTAGGAACGCTGTGTTTTCACGCTTGCCCCGCTCCGAGGCGTTGAGAACCCACATGTTCTCACGCTTATCCAGCCCTGGGACGGTAAGAACCCACGTGTGTGTGTGTATGTGTGTGTGTGTGTTTGTGTGTGTACGCTTGTCCCGCTCTAGGGCGTTAGGAAGCGACGTGTTTTCACTCGTGTCCCGCTCTGGGGCGTGAGGAAACCCACGCGTTCTCACGGTTGTCCCCCCCTGAGGCGTCAGAAACCCACGCGCGTTCACGCTTGCCCCACCCTGAAGCGGTGGGAACCCATATGTTTTCACGCGTGTCCCGCTCTGGGACGTTGGGAACCCGCATGGTTTCACGCTTGTCCCGCTTTGGGGCGTTAGGCAACCACGTGTTTCCACGCTTGTCTCCCTCAAGTGTTGCAAAACACGCGAGTCACCAGAGACATCCTCGGAATGTCTTCGCGCAGGACGCGCTATGCTCGATCAGGCACGCAAAATATCAACATGCTCGTGCTGTGAAAAGCTTAAAGGGCCTCGAGACCTTGTTGGTTCACCGATCTTCTACAAACATGGAGGAAAGGTACTGTCTGCGGACCTTGTCATTGATCAAGGATCCGAGACGAGGGGGGGCACATTTTCCTCGAGCGGGCACGGGCGAAACACACTTTTTTGTAATATGATCGACCCACGAACCCGGAAGGGGATTTAGAACTGCGAGGCATGGATGCGTTCCCAAACACCACAATCGGGCAATAGGAAATAACAATGCTGAACACATCAATGGTGATGATCTGCGCTGCGCTGTGCCGTGCCGCACGGTGACGTGCCAGGGGACACGAACAGAGACGTGCCACGGGACGCGCCGCGGGAAATGCCAGGGGGACGTGCCGCGGAACGTCCCAAGAGACGGGCAAGGGGACGAGCCAGGGGACGTGCAGTGGGGACGCACCGAGGGACGTGCCAAGGGGGCGCGCCACGGAACGTGCCAGTGGACGTGCCACGGGACAAGCCGCACGACATGCCAGGGGGACGCGCCACGGAAAGTGCCAGTGAATGTGCCAGGCAACGAGCCAAAGGACGTGCCAGGGAACGCGTCATGGGCCGTGCCACGGGACGTGGCACGGGACGCGCCAAGCGACGCGCCGCGGATCACCTGAAGCCTCCGAAGATCTTCGCGCCCCGTTAGTAGTCGAGACGTCGCACGATCGATTGTAAATTCCGCTGGGCCCGCACTCCCAGCGCCACGATCACTGGTAAATGATGTTGCGTCCATTCCTCCAAGGCCACGATCGCCCGTAAATTCAGTGCGTGGGCGCTCCAAGTGCCACGACCCCTTGAAAATTACGCTGGGCTGGCGCTCCCAGTGCCAAGATGTTAGTAAAATGCGGTCGATCCCCACTAAATTACGCAGGTATGCTGAAGGTATGCCGAAGGTACTCTGAAGGTACGTCGGACACACTCGTTGAAGGTACGCTGGAGGTACGCTGAAGGTACGCGGTTTCTGCATTGTGAATTAGTAGTGTGGTTGAAGATACGCCAAAGACACGATGAAGGTATCGCTCCCCCAAACCCCACGAACCCAGAAAGAGGCCACACGCGATGGACTCAGAAATGAACTCATTACGACGGCGTCGCGCTCCCAAGCAAGTTCCAGTTGCTGCTGCAGAAATCTCGGTTTGCCTCCCCCCTGCCCCCCTATAGGGCCCTAGACCCCGCGGAATCAGAAAGGGGCCACGCGCGAAGGACCAAGAAGCGAAGCCACACGTCAGGACCACGCTCCCAAGGCAACGATCATTTGTAGATTACCCTGCGCCCGCTCCCCCTGGACCACGATCCCTCGTAAACTACGCTGCGCCTGCGCTCGTCGTGAAATACGCTGCGTACGTGCTCCCAGCGCCACGAGCACTACTGCGTGATGCTGCGTCCGCTCCCTCAAGGCCACGACTCCCCGAAAATCGTGGGCGCTCCAAGTGTCACGACCCCTTGTAAATTACGTTGATGTTGCGCTCCCAATGCCAAGATGCTTCGTACAGTATGCTCGATCACTGGCAAACCACGCAGGCATGCCGAAGGTATGAAGAAGGTATGCCGAAGGTACTCTGAAGGTACGTCAGACACACTCGTTGAAGGTACGTCGAAGGTACGCTGAAAGTACCCCTTGTCGGAATTGCGTTATTCCTACAATCAGTCTCCTTTCTGCAGCGCTGTTGCGCAAGCTGTTGGGCAAGCGATGTGGCGGAAGATATGTGGCGTAAGCTATGCGGTACAGCCTAGATGGTGCAAGCTATGTTGTGCAAGCTGTGCAGTGCGACCTATGTAGTGTAAAATCTGTAGTGTAAGACGTGCAGGGTAACTATGGTAGACGTGTGGAGAAAGCTATACAGCGTGAGCCATGTGGTGGAAAACTATATGGTGATGGCGGTGTGGTGCAACTAATGTCGAAAGATATACGGCCGCCCAACGCATCAAACACCCACGAGCAGCCCACGACCGGGCTCCAACTGGGCACCAGGCGACAAACCTCGACAGACCAATGCAGCGCCACGGGACGCTCACGAGGCGCCCGCCAACCAGGCACCAGGCAAGTTCTCGACAGACCAACCAAGCGCACGGGGCGCCCACGAGACGACAAGACTGGACCCCACGCGAAACTTCGACAGACCAACCCAGCGCACGGGGCGCCCACGAGGCGCCCAAGACAGGGCACCAACCAGGCACGAAGGGAAACCTCGACAGACCAACGCAGCGCCCAGGGCACCCACGTGGCGCCCACGACAAGACCCTGCAGGCAAACCATCGACAAAATCAACTGCGTCCACGCGGCCCACCAAGACAGCGCACGCGGGCCACAAGGCGAAACCTCGACAGACACGTCCAAATAACACAGAAGGTGAGAAAGAACTCCTGACCCAGTGTCAAGGTTGACCTGATGAGAAGGGGCCCCGAATGCGTGTTCCCTCGATTGCCCTGTGGCGTGGCTCATCTGTGGCGTGCCGCCCATCGGGAGATTCTTAGTTTCGCCGAGCGAGGAAGAGGACCCCCCAGGGAAATCACGAGAGCCCCCGACATCCTGAGCCTGAGCCCGTGGCCAAGTTGTTCATCCATACCAGATATTTGCGTGACGGTCCGTACGTAGAGCCTGATGAGTGCCTCCATGCAGACGCAGAAGACTGCCACAAGCCTTCTGTCGCAATTGTGTTTAATACGCGTGGAGGTCAGGACCTGCAGTCCGCAAAGCTCCCTCCTGCCTGCGGGCCGAAGCCCCTGACCCAGACCGAAGGGAAACGAAAGCCTTCTTGCAGCACCCAGCCACTTTCGCGGTGCCAGGCCACGACAGGAAATATTATAAGGGGCGACTGCACAGGGGTAACCCCGCTCAGGTCCACAAGAGTTGGAAGACGACGACGACGAGGAGACGAACGACGAGGCCGCGACAAGATCGAGCAGGGCCCCTGCGACGAACGACGAACGACAAGGCGCGAGCAAGCAGAGCCCCTGCGTCAAGCACGAGTGCGGAGGGGGGGGACGAACGACGAGGCGACAGAGGAGAGACAAGAAAAGCAGGGCCGCTTCTCTCTACGCGGGAAGGCCAAAGAACGTGGAGGAGGCCTCCTCCCCGCCTCGCCGGGCCGAGCGCGGAGGAGCGGGCGCTCCTTCTTGTCCTTGAGGTGTTTCTTGCCCGTCCGTTTCTTCCTGGTGGGCGGGACACTGCGGAGGAGAGGGGAACGGAGAAGGCGCAGCGGCGCCGTCGAGTGCCCACCTGTATCGATAGGGCCTCCTTGATGGGGTCCGGGTAGATGGGGTCGGAGGATCGCGCAGCATCGGAGATGCACGGGCACCGTCGATTTGGAGATAATCGGGCTCCAAATCGATCCGCATCGCCGATGCACTGGAGATGCGGCGCGACCCTCCGACCCCATCTACTCTGAGCCCATCTGTGAGGCCTCGAGTACCCCACTCCTGCTGATCCCGCGTCCCGGTGCCCCTGGCCCCCCATCGGTGCCCGCCCGTTGCTAGTCTGACGCCAACAGGAAGGCACACCGAAGAAATAGGCAAGGCGCCAGGGATCGCTCCCTCCCGCCCTCTCCCTCCCCTCTCTCGCCCACGCAGAAGCAGGCAGGGGCCCGCCGTCTCGCAGAAGCCCGGCCCAGCGCGGCGGCGCCTGCCACCAAAGGGCTGAAAAAGGGCGCCTCCGGGCGAGACTCCACCCCGGTCGGTCAGCGGCTAGCCGCGGGCGCTGCAGGAGGCAGTAGGGATAGGAGAGAGGAGGAGGTTGGGCGGAAGACTTTTGTGTCCACAGGCTTCTGGAAGACGGGGTGGCGACGAGCCCTGTCGATGATTGTATGCAACTACACTGGCAGTGCATTCGGATCTGCCCGTCCCAAAAATTTCAGAACAAGCCTGCCCGAAGAGACGTAGGATGGCGAGTGCCCTGTCTTCTCCTTGGAAAAGATGCAACTTGGAAGTAGCATATTCCCAACCGGTGCACGGACTTGCGCACGCACTTCCTGGGATGACACATGCCTAGTCTGTTTTGGATGTGGGGTTGTCGACGCAGCGGCGGGGGGCTCGGGCGCTCATCCTGGACAGCGAGGGGCTAGGAAGGATGTTCGACGGTAGGGAGATGTGATACTACATATATATATATATATATATATATGTGTATGTGTATATCTACAGCAAAAAATCTAACGGGTAACGGGCGTTACCCCAAAGGGAGGGTCTGGGCTCCGGGCATTCGTAGCGTTTCGGCGGGGTGGGGGCTCGCTGGGCGCAGGCGCGCTGCGATCGCCGTGGTATGTGCCCGAAGAACACCCCATGAATGTGAGCACGACAGTGCCTGCGATTCGATCGCGCGCGCGGTCAGCCTGAGAGCACTGGCGATGCACAGGCGAGCACCGCAATGGCTTGCGAGCGACCAGTGCGCCCCCGCGACAGCCATATTACAACGCGATCACCGCAATTGTGTTCGGAATCGTCGTCGTTATCATTTGGGAAATCGTCGCAACCGTCCTCGTCGAAATCATTTTCTGAATAATCGGCGCCGCCGTCGGAGTCGAGGGAGTCGTCGTCAGAACCGTCGCCATCGTCACCCGCGTCGTCGTCAGCGTCGGAATCGCCGTCAAACACGTCGTCGTCGGGATCGTCAACGTCGTCGTCGTCGTCGTCGACTTCGTCGTCATCGGCATCGTCGTCGTCGAAACCGCCGTCACAATCGTCGCCTTCGTCGCCTTCGTCGTCGTCAACGTCGTCGCCGTCGAAATCGTCATCGGAATCGTCGTCGTCGTGCTCCTCCTCCTCCGCCTCCTCCTGCTCCTCCTCCTCCTCCTCCACCTCCTCCTCCTCATTCTTTTCCTCCTGTTCCTTTTCCTCCTTCACCTCTTTTTCCTCCTCCTCCTCCTCCTCCTCGTCATCCCCGTCCACGTCTCCCCCGTTTCCCCTGGGTGGAGGGTGCGGGTGGCGCCTGGCCACAAAGAACCTCACATAAGGAACGAAGGGGCCTTTGTGGTCACGGATAAGCTCAACCATCAGCAGGTCCCCCGACGATGGAGCGAGGGATGGCCAAGAAATGAACTCATAGAACAAACGGGCGACGGCGGCGAGCAGGACAACCCAAAACGACGACGACGAGGAGGACGAGGACGAGGACACCGACGACGACGTTGAAAAAGACGACGACGACGTCAACGTCGACATAGACGTCGACGACAACGACGACGACGACGGCGGACGACAACGGACAACGACGACGACGACGACGACAACAACGACAACGACGACGACGACGACGACGACGACGACGACGGACGACGACGGCGGCGACGACGACGGCGACGGCGACGGTGACGGCGACGAGGACGACGACGATGAAAACGATGACTGGCGACGACTAGCAGCGACGACGATGACGACGATGACGACGACGACACCGCCGACGACGACGACAACGACGACGGAGGGGCGACTTCGAAGGCGCGGCGACGACGACGAACGACGAGGTTGACAACGGGGGCGCGTTGGCCGCGGCGGCAAACAGAAACCTCCACCGCGCTTGCGGCGTATTGTGCGCGTCGGACCCCTACCTCAAATGTGCTGTCCCTTCCCTCCCTCGTCCTTTTTCTTCGACGCCGTCGTCGACGCCGTTTTCCTCCTCCTCCTCCTCCTCCTCATCTTGCCCCTCCTCCTCTTGCCCCTCCCACTTCCGCGAACATCACATTCACTCGCGAAGGCCGAGAACAAACAACGCCTGCGACCACCACGCGAATGTAAAATAGCACGCCGGACCCTGACAGAATCGCAAACGAGCGAGCAGCGCAACCGTGCTTGAGCACCACCAATAAGCGTGCATGTGCCACGGAACACGTAAGAACAGAAATATACTTGTGACCACCACAACATGCCTTTGGTCACGTGCATGTCGGGAAGGCTCCAGCCCCCCCCCTCTCAAAGACTATCGTTATCGTTACAATTACCTGGGGGGGGCTGGCCCCAGTAACAAACGTTACCCGCCAACGGGTAAACGAACCAATCCCGATGTTTTAGGAATAAAAAACAAACAGGATGACCACAAGGAGGGCTAAGTTTACGAGGTTCCCTTGTGTACAAAGGATTCGGGGGGGTACTAGGGGGGCTGATGGGCTTCTTGGACCTATGGGGGGAGAGAGCGGTGGATGGGAGAAGAAGGGGAAGGCCCTCCTCCTCGTCATCCTCTCGTCCTCCTCCCCACACTCCCCTTCGGGACGGGGAGGAATGACGACGAGGAGGTGGGCGAGCCTTCGAAAGTTTGAAAGGCGGTATGCGTCTTTCAGAAAAGTCAAGATGGGAAGGGGAGGACACGGGGAGGAGTAGGGAGGAGGTGAGAGGAGAACAAGGGGGTGGGACGAGGAAACCGACGATGAGGCCGACGAGGATCGCGCGCGGCAAGACCCACGCCAGCTGCGAACAGGCCGGGAGGGCGGCGGCGGCCGCGGCGCGCCGTCCTGATCCATCCGCCCCCGTCGGCGTCGTCCTCCTCGGAGGGGGGGGCAGCAGCGCTTGGGTCGCCTGCCAAAGGAGGGGGGGAACAACGACAGGTGAAAGCTGCGCAGAGCCCTGCACACTTACCACGCTGATCGCTGCAATGCAAAGCCTGGGGGATTACGCACACACCCCGTGTGCTGCTGTTGCCCCTTGCCTCATGTCCATGTGGCGGCCGCCCGCGCTCTGGGGCCGTCGGGACAGGGTCCGGGATGCCAGCATGGTCGCAGGCATTGGTGTCGGGTCCCTCCGGCCAAAGAGAGGAGGGGAGGTGGGGAGGGCGCTTGAACGTCTCTTGCAGTCCGAAGGGCATTTGAGGGATCCCCTGGTGTCAACGCATCCAGATCTCCCTTCCTCCTCTCCCCCTACACCGCCCGCTCCTCGTCCCCGTTCCTCCACTGCCCCCTCCTCCTCCGCCCCCCGTCCTCATCCTCGTCCTCGTCCTTTCATTATTCTTATCATTCCTGCTACTCCTCCTGCTCCTCCTCCTCCTTCTCCTTCCTCCGCCATCCTGTCCCAGTCCTCGTCCGCCTCCCTCCTCCTCCCCCCTCCCTCCTTCTCTACTCCCTCCTCCGTCTCCCCCTCCTCCCCTCCTCGCCTCCTCCCGTTCCCTCTCTGGTCCCGCGCGCGGCGACCCCTCTACGCGCACCCCGCGGCCAACGACAGAGACGACGGAGACGAATGAGACGGCGACGCCGACGACGACGACGAAGACGATAACGACGCCGACGCCAATGCCGACGCCGACGACGACGCCGACGCCGACCCCGTCAAGGACGACGACGACGACGACGACAACAACAGCAACGACGACGCCGCCGCAACCGACGACGACAACGACAACCACCAACAGCTGGCCAGACGCCCGCGGGTCGCGGCAACTTCCTGTCGGTCCGACGCGGCCTGATGCACGGGAGACGCCGCGTCCTGCTGGTCCGGCGCCACCTTGGCCGCGGCCGCCGCCTGCGTCGGATCGAGGTTGCCGTTTCGAGCGAGCGTCGGCGACGCGGCAACCGCTGCCACGACGTACGACGTACGACAGACGACGACGACGACAACGACGACGACGACGACATGAACGACGACGACGACGACGAAGACGACGACGACGACTGCGACGGCGACGACGATGACGACACGGAGACGAAGAGTGGAAAGAGGAAAGAAGGAACATATGATTCCGCCATCACGCAAGTCTCTTCAGCGGGCACGCGCGAAACGCATGTTTTCAAACAACAACCAGACTGCACCTCGATATTCATCGCATTGTATTTCCCCGGCCCTCTTCACGTCGATTCCCGGAGTAACCTTACCAAGAAAGAACCCTGGGCCCGCGCCCTTTGTTTGAAAAACACGTGGTTCCAGCGCGGGACAGCCATGTTAGATGCCCGGTGAAAATAAGTGGTTCCATCTGGGGACAACCATGTCAGATACCCCCTCTGGACAACCTGATCGCGTGAAAACAAGCGTTTCGCCTCAGACACCCTTACAATCCTGGCCCCACAAAGTACGCAATATGTATATATATATATATATATATCAAGCGCTTCGCTCGAGACAACTTCAATCAACTCTGCGGAACAAGCGTTTCACTGGAGACATCCGCAGCAGTGGAACATGAGTACTTGACCCTGTGTGTGTCGATGTATTGTATATACAAAAAACTAGCGTTTCGCTCGGGACATGCTGAGAGCAAAACCACCGGCCCACCCTTTCCTTCATATCTACAGGCTGGGAACAGTTTTCTCCGATGGCCGCCGCATGGTCCAATGCCGCATAGCATCAGGAATTATGTGATCAAAAGTTGCACTATGTGATACAATGGCCGAACACACTGCGCGCTTTCGATGTCGACGCCCACTTCGCCTAATATACGGGTCGCGCAATAGTGGGGCCATATTGTCACGAATGATTCCGCCCACCACGTGCGTAAATGAATGCCAGATTCGCGCTTGTGCACTATGTGACAAAGCACAAAGTGTCCCGGAGCGTCCAGGGCCCCCGGCGACGACGACCACCACGACGACGAAGATGAATTCGACGATGACGATGACGACGACGACGGCTTCGTTGACGTGCGCCCTCGCCCGAATGCCGGCAACTCCTTGGCTCTCGCCGCATCGCTGGCTAGTGTCTCGGTCTGGCCGACCGCTCTCCCGTAAGCAAGGAGAGGCCTCAAGGGCGGCGCTTCCCCCCCTCGGGAGGGGGACGTGCTGAGGGGAGACAATGCCCCCCCGGTAGGGGGCATACAGCCGTCACCCTCAAACAGACACAGTTTGGAATATTATGTTTGAAGAATACCTGCCAGTTTGGGCCCAAACCAGGCCAAACCAGGGACACGCCAGGCAAATCGTGAGGAAGTTTCACGCGAGCCTGGGCCCAAACCAAGCCAAACCAGAGCCAAACCAGGCAACAAGAGAAGACGTCTCAATCGAAACCAAACCCAAACCAGGCCAAACCAGGGCCAAACCAGGCAAATTCTGAGGACGTATCGGGCGAAACCAAGCCCAACAAGTCCAAAAGCAGGGCCCAAACCAGGCAAATTGTGAGGATGTCTCAGGCGGGGCGCGCCGCCCAACCAGGCCGAACGCGGCCAAACCAGGCCAAATCACGGCCCAAACCAGGCAAATTCTGAGGACGTCCCAAGCAGGATCGCCCAAACCAAGCTCGATCCACTCTCTCTCTCTCTCTCTTTTTTTTCTCTCTCTCTCTCTCTCTCTCTTTCTCTCTCTCTCTCTCTTTCTCTCTCTCTCTCTCTTTTTTGTTCTCTCTCTCTCTCTCTTTCTCTTTCTGTTTTTTGTCTCTCTCTCTCTCTCTCTCTACATATATATTTATAACTAGAACCATCGCGCGCGCTTCGCGCGCGCTCAAGCTCAAGCTAGGCCCGACAGGCTAACGCATGGAATCTCAATTATTGAAGCGCCTTGTGCATCGAACGACCTTCTTGGAGTCCCTGCGCAAGCCTCGGAAGCGTATAGAAGGAGAAACGCGGAAACCACAAAATCATCGATTTCCTTCAGGTGCTCGATGATTTGGGGCCCTCGAAGGCTTCCTCGGCTCTTTCTTCGATGGTGACGGGGGCCTTAATGATGGTCTGATGTGCAAAAATAAACCGGGGGTGAATTTGAATTGGCCTGGCGAATGACCCAACCATGTGTAGTTGTGAACACCGCAGTTGTAAGCATCGTCCTCGGTGGAGCCCTCTTGTAGGGCCACGAAACGCTGTATTGGGTGGGGGAGACGCATGCGGAATACACCACTGGAACCTTCGGTGGAGCCCCCTTCTAGGGCCACGAAACGCTGCACTTCGTGGGGAAAACGCATGCTGGCTGCACAATTGAAACTTCGGTGGAGCTCCCTATGGGGCCACGAAACGTTATTCTGGGGGGGGGGGAGACGCATGCGGGCTGCGCCACTGGGACCATCGTCGGAGCTCCCTATGGGGCCAAGAGGCGCTGTACTCGGTGGGTGAGACACATGCGGGCCGCACTATTGAGACCTTCGGTGGAGCTCCCTATGGGGCCACGAAGCGCTGTTCTGGGTGGGGGAGACGCATGCGGGCTGCGCCACTGGGACCTTCAGGCCTCGGAACAAATTAGCGAACACTCATGCCAAATTCATCTGGCAACGCCTCCCCCCCCCCCCCCCAGTGTTCGAAGTTGGCGGTGGGTCTGATGAGATGCACTTCGACCGCAGTGTTTCCCGCGCGTGCCAACATTGTGTTGGGGGGAGGGGGAGTGTTCAGTAATTGTTTCCCTCTACCGTCTCATGTTTTAGTTTACCCCGTCAACTGCGAGTTGGCCGAGCGCTTCTGCGGGCAAGGGTTTCTGCGAACCATTATGATGTGTACATGCATTTTTATGTATACTTATGTGCACACATGTCTGTATGTGTGTATATATATATCCCCCTTTTTGGTGTTTTGGCGCCCGGATTGTCCCGCGCCTCATTCGTCATGTATCACTCGTATCACTCGTCCCAACACTCCTTATTTTTCACATATTACTCGTACCATTCGTAGAAAGAAAATAAGACTCCCGGGTGTTTTCTTTTTCCTTACGAGTGATACGAGTAATATGTAAAAAAATAAGGAGTGCTGGGACGAGTGGTACGAGTAATGCGTGACAAAATGGAGTGGGATGCGCGAAGCGCCTCCGGGGGGGCCCGGGGCCGTTGGGTAGGCGCTGGACATGACGACGCGCAACCGCTTGGGCCGTTTCTTGTTTGTTGCCCGGACGTCGTCGTTGTCAGTCGGCCGCCGCCGTGGTTCGTCGTAAGAATCGAAAAACAAAGTGTCAAGTTCGACTTGCCCTTGTCTGACTCAATCCGGGGTAAGTCCACGGTTGACGGTGTGAGTTTCGCAGTGATTGAGACGACTCCTCCCCAGTCCACCCCTCGAACATTTTCCCGTGTACCGCTCCCTGTATTTCTGCACCCCAATCAATTCGAGCGTAGCCACGTGCCGGGCAACATGCCCACAGGCCTCGGAACAAACTAGCGAGCACTCATGCCAAAGTCAGCTGGCAACGCCTCCCCCCCCCAGTGTTCAAAGTTGGCGGTGGGTCTGATGAGATGCACTTCGACCGCAGTGTTTCCCGCGCGTGCCAACATTGAGTTGGGGGGAGGGGGAGTGTTCAGTAATTGTTTCCCTCTACCGTCTCATGTATTAGTTTACCCCGTCAACTGCGAGTTGGCCGAGCGCTTCTGCGGGCAAGGGTTTCTGCGAACCATTATGATGTGTACATGCATTTGTATGTATATTTATGTGCACACATGTCTGTATATATATATGTATATATGTCCCCCTTTTTGGTGTTTTGGCGCCCGGATTGTCCCGCGCCTCATTCGTCATGTATCACTCGTACCACTCGTCCCATCACTCCTTATGTTTCACATATTACTCGTATCATTCTTAGAAAGAAAGTAAGACTCTCGGGTGTTTCTTTTTCCTTACGAGTGATACGAGTAATATGTAAAAAATAAGGAGTGCTGGGACGAGTGGTACGAGTAATGCGTGAAAAATGGGGTGGGATGCGCGAAGCGCCTCCGGGGGGCCCTGGGGCCGTTGGGCAGGCGCTGGACATGACAACGGCTTGGGCCGTTTCTTGCTTATTGCCCGGACGTCGTCGTTGTCAGTCGGCCGCCGCCGTGGTTCGTCGTAAAAATCGAAAAGCAAAGTGTCAAGTTCGACTTGCCCTTGTCTGACTCAATCCGGGGTAAGTCCACGGTTGACGGTGTGAGTTTCGCAGTGATTGAGACGACTCCTCCCCAGTCCACCCCTCGAACATTTTCCCGTGTACCGCTCCCTGTATTTCTGCACCCCAAT